AGTATATATCTCCCACAAGATGCAGTTACTTGCCCAAAGTCATGGGGCCGTCCATCCGCCTCTGATTCTTTTTCTCCCTCTGTGGCTGTCAGGAGGGCCAGGTTCCTTCAGCACAGGTGCCCACACAGCTGCCTGACAGCATGGCTGCCGCTGCACCAGACGCACATGCAAACTGCAGAACACGCGCCTGCCACGCTCATAGCAGCGAGCAAAGCACCCGACCTACATCTGCTTGCAGACATTCCTAAAAACACTAGCCAGGCATCATATGGTAAAACTGAAGAAATGTCTTATACATTTAGTGCGATAATCCAATGATTTCATTAAATAAATATATAAAATAAATATATACACTTCACATTTCACAGTGAAATGCAGCACTGTGTTCATTTACACGTAAGCAGCTCAAAATGATTCTCAGAGTGGCTCGATTCGCAGTAAATACAGCAACACACCAGGGTTATTCCACTAAAACCATAAACAACACATTTTAGTAGGGGTGTCCCCGACTAAGGATTTACATACTCAAATCGGAATTTTCGAATCAAGCCGATAGTCGACTGATAGTCGAATCATATGTTTGTGGGCGGGGGCAAAATACATTACCAAGCCATAATTAGCCTCCTGACGTTATCATACAGGGAAAATGAGTAACGGACGCCTCGCAGATACAAAAATAATGTTTTATGTTTTGATTAAAAGATAGTTAACATTAAACGTCAGCGAAACCCTAAGAATGCACAACATTTTTTACAATAGTGCTCTCATTATAACGTTATGTATATGACAGTAGTTATTAATGTTCTGCATTTCTGTTTTGAGCTGCGCGCGCTGAAGATGACCAGTAGAATGAAGCAGCAGGTTTTTAATCAATGGGATTTAACTCATCATTTATCTCATATAGAATACGCTTCGTTATTTATAAAACATAACGTTAATATTACGACTTATAGGCTATCTGCACAAAATACCCCAAAATGCATATGAATGTGTCTGCGCGGCTCTGAATGAACTCCTTTTGTGGACGCGTTCTTCACGCAACAACGCGCAGAAACACGGCAACTAAACTCACAGCGTTTTAGTATAATAGTGTTCTCATTATAATGTTATGTATATGACAGTCCCAGTCATAGTTATTAATATTCTGCATTGTTGTTTGTCCTGCTCATAATCACCGTAGTACTACAATGAAGCGCTTGCCTTTACTGCAGCGCAACTCGACCAAATGCATCGTATACGAGATAAATTATAGGCTCCTCCTATCGAAGCATCAAATCTTCGACTATTCGGGGTCACCCCTACATTTTAGCAAACGTTTTTGTTACATGAAATAAAAACATTATCTGAAATAAAATATTGGCAATTTGCCAAGGAAAAATTTGTAACTTTCATTTAGTTTAACCTGTACTAAAATAAAATCTATATAGACATAAAAATAAACAATAAAAATGAACAAAATGCGACAAAATTACTAATACTTTAAAATTAAAAATAAAAATGCAAAATTAAAAATTAACACTTAATATTAACTATTAATAAAAACTTCAGTAATATATCAAATGACACTAATTCCCTATTTTCATGTGTACTGAGTTTGGGTCGCTTGTAACGTGAATTTGGGAACTCGTACGCCACCCATTCCACCACACTGGTACTAAGAAGCACTAATAAATCAGTAGTCAACTAATTTTGTTTAATATATACATTGAATAATAATCGCAACTACTATTATTATAGACGTATAGATACATAATCACAATATGATTTTTAAAAAAATCTCAATCTCTATTTCTTAATCAGGAAAATCACAATTAGATTTTTTTCCCTAAAGCCTTCAGCCCTACTTATGTCTAATCTTCAAATGTTTAGTGACTGAAAAACAAACATCCGCTGTCTTTTTCTAAACCTTTTCCTGCAGTTCAAGGGTTAACATGGTTCCCTCATCTTCTCAAAACAGCAAGTACACAAATCAAACACGGTTATAAATATTTGTACGTCCCCAGTCTGCTGCCATGTCTTATTTAGGGCTTTATGTCATAAAGCATGCCCTCGCTGCTCCAAAAAGAAGCGGATGTTATTCCATAAATATTTACATCTATACGTAAACTACACTGATCCATCAGCCGTGTTGCGTTTAAAAAAGTGATGAGCTGGTAAGAGGTAAATAGTTAAAGTATTTTTAGGTGAGTTGGGGGTTGTATTCCCTGCGGAGGGCCTGATGATGGGAAGCATTGTGTTCATTTTGTTTATCAAGCAGCTCTACGAGCCTCTAGTGGGGCTCGTCTGCTTACACAAGCAAAAGCTTTCAGAGGCATCTGCAGCTGCAAGCCCACTGTACAGGTACCCTGCAGACTGCATGCACAAACACACACACACACACAGCTGCCCCAGCAACCCTACGTGGCTCTGCAGGTGTATCTGTGCCACCGTGGCTATCAGTGCCCTTTATTCCCACGTCTAGGTCTTCGACATCTCTTGTCCAATCATGATGACTGATGGCTGGCCAAATGCCAGTCCACGCAAACCAGGTTTCCAACCATCCATATTTTTATGCAAATTTTAGGATATTGTAGTAAAAATGCTGGATGGAAACACAAATATGAGATTAAAATTTCCACTGAGCAACAAAAACATTTACCGGAAAAAATTCATAGAAAGATAAAAAAGTAATGGGACTTTATCTGTCTACATGAATCAATAACTAGGATTTAGTGGGATATTCCATAAAAATGCTGGATGGAAACACCAACATGAGCAGATAAAAGCAGGTAGAAAATGCAGATAAAATCACAAATTCCTTGATGCACATCAAAAAAAGTCACATGACTTTTCCTCAAGTCATATCATTCACTGTTGCTCTTAAGTCCATGTGTACATTGCATGTGATTTACATTTACTCCTAAGAAGAGAATGAACATACGTACAAGCGCAGCTAGAATTTTTCTAACCATGCATACTCTGCATACTCAACTTGCACAAGACGCCTTGAATTTTTCGCTTAGTTTGTCCACAAGGCTGCCATTGTTTCACAGTCAAAAAAAAAAGAGAAAAAAGAATGAGATGGAACAATAATAACAAATTATTGGTGATGCAACAACAATATATGTTTGCGTTGACGCCCGCATGTACAAAGGAGTTCAGTTTAAACGAGTACAAAATCATTTTTAATATTTCATTTTTTTAAGTCATTTTAATAGAGTCACATGAACGCGCAGCTGTGCACAGAGACGAACGGCCAAGGTCAGGATTTTTGTTAAATAATACATTAACTTTTGGTTTGTTTTTTCACCAAACCCTATTGTAAAGCCCCAAAACACCTGGAATACAAGACACGTGTCACATGGGACCATTTTGTCGTACTTTTTTTTTTTTTTTTTTTTTAAAGGCACGAGTGGGACATTTTTTGAAAATTCTCCTTTTGTGGTCCTAAAAAGAAAGAAGTGCATACGGCATTAAAACAACACAAGGGTGAGTAAATGATCACTTAATTTTCATTTTTGGGTGAACTATCCCTTTAATAAAACAGCCCTAGTGGTTTCCACAATTTTACATTTATATTTCGAGTCAATTTTCCTAAAATGTGATGATTTTGTGCTCTTGAACACACGGAATGGAAAAGCTGCTTTATTTACAAATTATTTGAACAATTTAAAATTTTTTTGCATACATTAGCAACTTAGATGGAAACATAGGTACTAACACACTCTCATCAGTTGTGAGTGGGATTTCAAAGAGAATCCATCCTTTCTTACAAGAGTAGAGTTCTATATTCCCGGTGTGCACCGTCACTGCTCTACCCTGTGCTGAATTGAGCTGCTTTGAGTTATGAATCACACAAGTGCACCTGCGGCCATGTGTTAAGTAGTGACAAATAAAAGCCCTATGTCCATTTACACAACAAAGAGATGTACCCCACGAGGCCACCAATCTCTCCTCAACCCCCTTACCACCCCACCTCTCCGTCTTTTTCTGTCTTAGCTTGTTTTTTCCTCTGGCATTAATAGCGAGAAGTATCTGGCTCCCCGTTTCCCCCGAGTCTCGTATCACCAGAGCGACTCCGTTCCAGACAAGCTACGACTCAAACCCAAATTTAAAGACAAAAAAAGTGCATTGCGCAACTTCTTATTCACGTCTCGCGGAAGAGTCGCGCTTGATTTCTCGCCTGTGCGCCATGCGATTATTGAGAGCTCACGAAGACTAATCCTGCTGCCACGCAGCCCTCAAAGGCCTCGTTTTGTTCTGCGGGAGGAATCCGAATCCTGCCGTATTAACGTGAGGGGGATCTCTGTGCTAAAGCCGCTGTATTCACGCATTCACTGCGACCAGCACTGCGGTTTGAGGGAGAATCTAAAAGGAGGCTTTCACTATCTGACCTCCGTTTTCCCACAATGACTATTCGAATGTGCGATTTATGCATACAGAAAGGTTGGGAGGGAGTTGGGTTAACGGAGGTCACAGGCGGAGTCAAGCTGAGCTCCACACTTCCTCCGAATCCTAATGTCTGGTGCTCCACTGGGATTATCGCCCATGGAAATTTTCCCCCAATTCCGCGTTATTAATCTCTGTCTGTCCTCCTGTTCTGGCTACATAATGACTAATTAAACATCAAAAGAGCTGTGGCGGGGATGCGGCATGACAGCTCGTGTCCCTGAGCCCTTGTTCCCGCGGGAAAGGGGAGGAGAGGGGGGCGAGCGCTGACAGGGCGGCCTCACAAATCAATCAAGCATCATTACCTCACACCTACGCCCGCCGCGTTCCAAATGGAGGATCCGCAAATACAACAGAGCTGATTTGAGAGGCAGGTTTGGCCTCCCGTGTGCACACGCCCGACATACGCACAGGTACACGCCGCCTCCGTGTCAGAGGACGACTTTGATAAGACGGAATTCAAAAACGTGTGCCGCCGTACCAACGGCTTTCATTAAATGTGTCTGTTTGTGCACTAGCATCTATTTTTAAAGCAAAGCGATGGCAGGAAGATGAAATGATGCTATACTCACAGATGTAGGCAGGCCAGGAGGGGGCTTGCGCATTTTCTTTGTTTGCAGAGGATCTGTGGAGAGAATACAAAAACAACTTTGAGACATTTGAGGGGAAAAAAGAATAAACAAGCATGCGGAGGCACTCAGTCAGATGTCTCTTTGATTACAGGTTTACAAAGACAAATATGAAAGCATCAGTGTGGCAGAAATCGAGGAATTCTTAAATGCAATGTAAAAAATAAAAGCTAATGCTGAAAAATGTATATTTCCAGTAGTGTCCATTATTATACATAACCATGGCATTATAGTCATGCTTCCTCATTGAGGGCATCAGACAGGCACTAACCCAGTGAAGCAGAGTCCTGAAGGGAGCGTCTTCGTGGATTGGAGCCAGTATAAGAGTAGAATGGAGTGGGCGACTTCCCAGAGGTGGTGACGGGCCCTGGGCTTGCCAGCCCCATGTCCGACCTCAGACTAGACTGTACAGAAAAAAATAAAAGAGTTCAGGGCCAAGAGCCAACATCATAATGCACAAAAAAGTGAATGTGTGTGCAAAAACATATTTTGAAATTAAATCAAAACAAAAATAAACTGAAATACAGAAAAACAAATAACAGAAAAGCAGATGACTGTTTTCACAATATGGTTGACAACCCATGAATGGCTGATATTAACATTCTATACTTTAATATTCTATACACTTATCAAATAAGTTACAAATAAAAACTAAAATCAATCATTTAAATACCAAAACTGAGTTTAGGCATCACAACATTATAATGTACAAAATGAAAAAAATTATATTTTGATATTTGCAAAAGATTACATACAAAGATTAGTGTTTGGAATTATTTGTTTCTAAAAAATATCTTTATATGACTGTTAGATGGCAAATGCAATTTAAAATGTTAAAAAGGTGAAACAAAAAATGCTCTTAGTTACGTATACAACATATATGCCACTACTGAATTTGGAAAAAATAAATCTATAAAATCTTATGAAAAAATCTTATGTCAGCATCCCTAACTGTGATATAAGATATAAAATGACATGGTGTCAAGCCTAAAGTTTTGATGTAAAACATTAAAGAATTAAAAAAAAATTGGAAACAAAGAAAAGATATAAAATAATGAAATTCATGTACATTTTTTTCAATTCAACCGAAGTGTTACACCGATAATATCGGTAATAAAAAAAGTTCATTCTGAATAAGAAAATGCTAAATACAAGCCTTTAATGTAACGGCTTTTGAACTGTCAGTTTAAAAGTAAAAAATGTTAAAAAAATAAAATGAGCATCACCCAGATTAAAATATAAAATATGATGTGATGTATGACTACTTCAGATACTGTGTGACCCCTGAATGAAGGTTTTGTGCTTCACAGAAGGACACAATCAGAACTCGTTATGGGAAAAAAAAAAACGTTGAGAGTTTTTCTGCTCTTTCCTCTCTTTACTGAACACAATTGTGCAGTTATTGATGTGAGAGTGCCAGCAGCTCAGTGAAGTCCAAGGAGAAATCGATCCAATCAGTCTGACCTAGCGATTCCCTCCCCTTCTGCTCCCGGTGAACTGCTATTGATCAGGCCTGATCACGGCCCCAGGGCATATCCACACGCAGCCAGGGACACATCCTCACTTAAAGGAGCAGCAGGCTCAGGGGCCGGCTCAAGCCTCATTAAACCATCTGTCTGATCTTAGGAGCTGTCAGCTCCCCTGTAAAAAACTGTGCCGGCTTAACTTGATAAAACACCCGGTATAGAGCCCATGAAGTCGACAGGGCCTCTAGACTGTCGACGGAGAGCCAATTATGTGAGGAGAGAAGAGAGACAGTGGCCCCAAACCCGTGTCTGATGACTGGGAGATTAGCGTAGGCTTCAGGTTTTGTAAATGGTTTTCCCAGAGGCTATCGCACCCTTGACCAACATCCACTCCGTCGCTCATCCCAGCAAACTGGGTTAAGAGGCCAATTAGAGAAGAAGCCCAATTAGCCTAATCGTCTGCTGAGTTAAAGAGTAGTGTGGGGAGGGGGATGAAAGAGTGACTGAGAATAGAAAGAATCAGGTAACAGGACTCATACTGAGAGACCCAGCATGCATTAGAGAGCGGCTTTTGACTACTGTACCTCACCTCTTAACACAACACAAACTAAAATCACACAAAATATTAATAAAGAACCATGATTACACGTTATAAGTATAATTATGGTTGTAAATTTGACTAATCTTTTGTGTGATTTTAGTTTGTATCATATTTATCTCATAAATAATTTGTATATTTAAAATAACATTACATTTTTGAGTGTCTTGTATTGTATTTTATAATTATAATTATTATGTATTTATTACAATATATTAAATGTTATTTTATAGGTTATTTATAAATACAAATTATCTTTCAAACAATTAATTATAATTAAATAAATTATAAATACGCAACTCAAACAGACATCTCAGCCTCTGCCATCGCAGTAAACGAAGACAGACCACGTAAACTTCATCTCCAGAGCTACTCTGAGATTCTCTTCACCAGCTTTACACCATTTATTTGAGAAGGACTACTGTCAAATATTACATCAAGATGGCGCCGCAAATGGCAGCCAGGACGCTGAGCTCCGCGATTCTTCTATTGTTTTTGTTTGTTTGTTCTGTGTTTTGTCATTCTTCTTCTATAAGTTTTACCAGAGACGAACTCCTTAACATTAAGCAGCACATCCCAGACAATATTTTTTTGGTTTTTGATTATTCTGACGTTTTGTTGGACATTCTAGTAGGAGGTACAGCTGTGTTGTTCAAACGCGCGTGCAGACACAGTAGAGGGAAATGCGCCGGCGCCCTGGTGAAGCTCCGCGCGCGCGGCTTTCGGACTGCGCTCCCAAGCATTCATCTTGCGAATGTCCGTTCCCTTCCTAACAAAACGGATGAACTTCTTCTCCTCACCCACACCAACAAGGACTTTTCAAACTCTGCTGCACTGTGCTTCACTGAAACCTGGTTGAGTGAAGCCAATCCGGACAACGCGCTTCATCTGCCGGGCTACCAGCTGTTCAGAGCGGATCGCATTGCGGAATTAACGGGGAAAACCAGAGGTGGTGGATTGTGTGTCTACATCAACGAAAGTTGGTGTTCAGATGTAACAACGCTGAAAAAGGAATGCTGTCCTAATTTAGAGGCACTCATCATAAACTGTAAACCTTTCTACTCGCCGCGGGAGTTTTCCTCTTTCATTCTCGTGAATGTGTACGTGCCTTCTATTTCTGTATATAGTACATTATTTAATTTTTCTTTTTTTATTATATTAGTGTTATATTACATCCCTACTGTGTTATTCCTATGTATGTCTGCACTATGTTTGTACTTTCTTCTACACTGGAAGCTCCTGTCATCAAGTCAAATTCCTTGTGTGTGTAAACATACTTGGTAATAAAGTTCTTATGATTCTGATTCTGATTCTGATATACAATGTAACTCAGATCTTCACAACAAACCAAATATACCTCTCGAAGTAATAATAATATTATTAATATTCATATAATAATTAATATTATCATTGTTTTCAATTAATTGTTATATTTTCTTTTGATTACACTTCAGAAGATTGATTAAAATGTTAAGGTTTTATCAATTAATTTCATTAGACACCATCTTTGATGATAGGTTTGTATTAAATCATATAACAAAATAAAATGGATTATTTTTAGGGGGAAAACAAAACTGATTTCATAGGGCCCTAAATTAAATGGTAGCTTACTCTGTGGAGTTTAATTGTGAACAAACAATTTATGTTATATTCATTGTCAAGGTCTGACAAACATGTGAAAAGCTCTTCCTTCCCCATTAATGGTAAATTAATATCATGATAAATATTGATATTGTATGATAGAAAAAAATATTGGAATAATATTTTTGGCCATATCGCTTATCCCTGGTATACAGGAAAATAAATTCAATATCAAAGTCAAATAGAAGTCATAATCAAAGCGCTTGTCGAGGCTTACAGAAGAAAGCACTTAAAAATAGCTACTCCTCCTTGAATTCAGCCGATTAAAACAAGGGCCATCAGATCGTGTGAAAATCAGGTTGGCTTCTCCTTTACTGCAGGAGGAATGAGGGGGGGAAAGTGACAGGCTGTCAGGGAGGTGGCATCATTGACATTGACATGGCAAAGCAGACTGACTAGTGTTGCCTTTGTTCAATGATATGAAATCCTCACAGCAATATTATCTTCTTACTTTTAGCCGCGATGCAAAAGCAAGACAGGAAAGCGCCGGGGTCAGATGAAAGACCGATAGAATACTAATTTAACATTCGGGAGAGAGTGATTTCAGGGAGATTTGCTGAGGTTTATTATAGATAGTGATGTGAAATTAGTCGAATCCTATTTAAAGATTACATTCAGAGAACTGGTGGTTCCATGAAACAAAAGGGGATTAGTGAGATCTTTGTTAAATTAAATATAGAATTAATAAGAAATTTACATTTCCTGAAGAAAAACTTGTACGATGCCAGGCTGTTGCTAAGTAAAAAAAAAAAAAAAAAGAGCCCAACCTCTAGTCATATTCAGGTTTCTAGATAGGACGTGGGTATATGAAATATTTTTTTAATCTTCCAGGTGAAAATCGTAAGTCTGATTTCTTAGAAAAGTAATAATACACCTCTCGCCAACAAGCCACATGATTTGAGGTATCATTCACATCTTCTGCACAAACATTTCAGGATGAGTTACACAGCGACGTTTAATACTTGGGGGGTTTGGACTGTGTTCAAATCCCTAATACTGAGTATAAGCGATCACAACGGCGATATACTGACAAAAGCCCTGTTCAGTTCTCTCCAGGGTATGAATGTTTATGTGTGAACATGGCCGTGTGTTAGCAGGTGAGAGGAAAATGACTGCCCTCAGTGGTTTAGCCTTTAAAACAAGTACTCAGCTTACATGACAGTCCAGTCAATCTTGTGGATACTGAGAAGTAGTGTTCATTATAAGAACACTTGACAGAATCACAGGGGCTTCTGAGCCCGCTCACATCTGAACAATCATCTTCCTGAGTGAAATGTCAGGCAGATTGGTGGAGATAATAGCAGTCATCTGTCAACCGCATCCTGCCGCAACAATCAGAATAATCCTCCACACAGGGGACGGGAGCAAAGCTTACCTACAGCTACCGCGCCGCTGAATGCAGCTCTCTACCGCTTGCCTCTTATCGCTTCTGTATTTTCACATTTCTCATGTTTGGATCATGGCATTTCATGCAACAAGGTTAAAGATTGCAACGGAAGGGTAGCCTTTAGTGAGATGTTGTCAAAGATATTGCAAAGCAACAGCGAGCAACAAATGAATAAACTGTATCATTTTAGGATGTATAATGTAAAAAAAATGTAACTGTCAAATAAAGCTTCTCTTTCCTGCAGAAAGATACATATGTATGGCTATACTGGTCAAGCATTTCGGTTTTGATTCACTAAAGAGGCTCATAAGAATCATTTGATCTGACTTTACTGGTAGCATTGAATGGCTTTTATTCACTAAAAACAGTTTATTAGAGTCATTAGTTCAGGAATCGAACTGCATTGGTCATATTGTACGGTATTAAAAAAAAAAAAAGATTCAAGAGTCATTTGTTTAGGAATCAAACTACACTGCAACTGTGAGATTCTGATTCTGATTCAATTGCCTCTTAAATGGATAATTCACCCAAAAATGAAAATTCTATGATTGTGGAACACAAACGAAGATATTTTGAAGAATAATGGTACAGTTTAGGTGACCATTGATTTTAATTGTACGGACAAAAACACAACACTGAAACATTTTTCATTTTGTGTTATGCAGACGAATGAAGGTTTGGAATAACATGAAGTCAAGTATATTTTCATTTTTGAGTTAACTATTTGAGTGTTATTTTGTTCAGGTATCTGACTATAGTACTGAATGGTAGTAATGAATGGTTTTGATTCACACAAAAATGGCCTTATAAAGGTCATTACTTACGGAATTTAACTACATTGTTTACACTGTAACCAGGGTCATTTGTTTGGGAATCAAGCAAAACTGTTTGCGCTGTTTATTTCTGATTTACTATGAAGAACTGATTTGTAAAAGTCATTAGTTTAGGAGTTGGACTATGTTGGCGGCATTGTACGATTTTTATTCACTTAAAAAACCTGGTTCATAACCGTTCGGGAATCTGACTACACAGTCTGTGAAATATGTTTCACGTAGGAAACACAGAGTATTGTTGTATGTTGTTCGGTCCACATCAGACAAAGAATGCACTTGCGAGAATCGTTAATGGTTCAAAATAAGAAGCGGTTCTCATTTCCCAAGCCTATGTGAAATCCACTGTTTTTGTTGCTGAATTACTTGCTAGTAAAAGAAAGCAGCCAATGAGATGCTTGGCAGGCAGAGATACAGGGGCCACAGCTGGCTGAGACAGTCTGAATATTTAACTCAATAAAAGGTGTACAGTTCCACATCAGGTTCAAATGATGCAATAATACCTTGCTGAGGGAGAAGTTTAGCCTGCAAATGATGACAAACCTCATAAAAAGACGGGCTGTTTTGGCTTTGTGAAAATCCTGTAACCGCTTCCCATCACTGCCAAACACTTGATAGATTACTAGTGCAGATATTTCCATTCTTGGCACTCGCTGAACAAATAGGGCCTTTTATTAGGTTCCACAATGTGCATTGCTCAATTTTCGAAGCAGACTGGGTTATTAGGCGCCCGATTCGCGTATTAAAAACACTGCTTCTCCGATAATCTCTGCACCTGATAGTCATCTGTTTATATGCGCGCGGCAGACGCGGTGGCCGTATTAACACGCGGGGTTCAGAATATTAATGCAGCCACCCTGCAGCCAGCATTCTTCCCACATTCTCCCAGGAACCTAACGGCTTTTTCGCTCTTCCTGTTTTTCTTCAGCGACTAGACAAACTGAGTCTCTGCCAGGCTCTGATCTGTGCAGCTGCAGGCCAGCATAAATTCCCCAGTTCCCACACAAAATGTCTGGACTGGCATTCCCTTCCAGAAAGCTCTTTTATGAATGAGCGAACGCGCCGGAGAGCCAGCCGTGTTTTCATTCGTTCTGACTAGCGCCATTCACTGCTCGCAAACCGCACGGCGCTTTTAAAGGTGCGCTTGCGTGTTTCTCCTCTCCTGAGATGGGTGCTGGGCTTGGAGGGCGAGGTTATTAAAGGGTCGTCAGGGTCGAGGGCTGCGCTGACCTCACACTTAAGCTGGAGAGGTAGCCTTCCTCTAATATTGTCTCTTAGCCGTGGCATTAAATTTAATCTTAAAGCTAATCCTTCTGCTAATAACCATAAGGTATAGAACTAATATGCAATGCAATATTAATGAACTAGGATGGAAAAGAGTTTATTTCTTGGTTTCCCAGTACTCATTACCACAAGGTTGGAGAGGGGGCGAACAAAATGTAAGCAGAGCAAAAGTGCAAGCAACAGGCGATTAAAAAAAAATGTGGAGGGAGAAAAGGGTGGGGGGTTTCCAAGTATACTCTCTGACTGACTGATGTCAACCGTGTCAGAGAGAATGAGCAGGCAGGAGAGCGAGAGAGCGAGAGAGCGAGAGCGGGGTGGTGTGCTCACACAATCTTGTCTTTGTTTGGAACATCTGTGTGGCTGAGGGAGGGGAGCAGGGCCGGGCTCTGTGACCTAGCTTTAATGAAAGTGCTGAAATTCATGTTTCTGTGTGCCCAAGGCCTGCTCCCTACACATAAACACTCCCTCTAAATCACACATTATTAAAACATATTAAAAGCATTCAGACATCACAAAACACTCTTTCAGCATCATCTGATGTGAAAAACTGAGCAGAAACTATAAACACAGTTCCCTCTGCTTTTGAGCAATTTCCCAGACTTTTTGATGACTTTTCTCAGTTGTGATTATCAAATGATTTTAGGCACCACTTTATATTTTTGGTTACAACTAGTTAATGAATTACAGTAGGTATCACAAAAAATACATTAATGTTCATTTATACAACATTTATTCAATCATAAAAAGTATACACATTGGTATACAATACATTCAAAAGTTTGGGACCATTAAGTTTTTTTTTTTTTTTATGTTTGCAAGGACAGATTAATCTCATCAAATGTAACAGTAAAAAAAATATAATATTACGAAAGATTTTCATTTAAAATAAAACCTGTTCTCTTTAGAATGATTTTCTGAAGGATCATGTGACACTGAAGACCAGAGTAGGAAAAGGAATAAATTATATTTTACAATATATTAAAATAGAAAACAGTTATTTTAGAATGTAATAATATTTAACAACATTGCCGTTTACGTAGTGAGCATAAGAGATTATTTCAAAAACATTAAAAAAATCTTCCCCCATCCCAAATACTGTAGTTTAGAGCTCAGCTTAACTAAAAAAAAATAGTATATTCACTACAGTAATTCCCAAGACTGTTTATGATTTTATTAATTTCCACTTTTCAAAATTTAAGATGGGACTTAAATACAGAATTGAGCCATTTAGCCATGTGTTGGAGGATTTGGCACGTTCACTTTCAGCACTCTGGTAGTTGTGATGAATCAAGGGCTAAGTGAGATTCACACAAAAGCAAAAACTATGTAAAAACATAATAATATAAGGGAAGTTGTAGTTGTTACCTGGCATCCAGATACGCCTGGCTCTCTTCCATAACCAGAGAACTGAGGCCTCTCAGACTTGCCTATAGATAAACAAAGAGACAAACAATCAGAACAGCACCATACACATTAATCATATAAACATTAATCATGTGGAAAAACAGGGAGATTTCAAGGAAGACAAACAATAACTGCCAAAACTCACACATTCCATGTGAGTTCTGGCAGATGAAGGCTGCTGAAGGTCAGAAGGAACTGATTTATATTTCATATTACATCAGTAATGTGTGATTTATTTCTGTGTGTATTTTTTCTAGCTGTCCATCAGACAGGGCACGTCTGACAGTAAACAACAGGGTCAGACGGGTCTCGGTCGACGATATTAATCCATCTCCATCCTTTTCCTGTCGCAGAAACAGCCCGTGAGCTTGCAAGGGGCAAATAAAAAGTGCACAGTGCACAGCCGTATGAATCATGCACTTCACAATATCCAAACTCAGCAGTTTCAAGCTCTCTGCGAGAAAAAAAAAAAAGGAGACTCCTAAAGGAAAATGATAAACAACTCTAAAAACATCATATATTATACTTGTCAGACTTTCAAACATTTGAACAAACACAGCAGTGAAGCTAAATTCTGTTTACTCCAGGGAACAGGTAAATATTTTTGTTACTTAAATTCGGATGCTGAAAATATTTGCGTTACACCTTCTGTGTTCAGGTTCGGTTCTGCTGCGCTCAGGTGCACGAGGCCACGTGTCTGCAAGCGTGCGAGTTTCTGAGACGCAGCCGTAATCAGGTACAGTGGTTTAACGGAAAACGCTGCTTCCCCTGTGGTGTAAACTCATCTCAATCAACATGATATAACATTTGAGAGTTGCGCTCCTGCAAAGGAAGAGGGAGTATAGTTGTGGGTAAACTACTGCGCTCCCTCCCCCTTAGTCACCACAAAAGAATAAAACATCTGTCTTTCTGCGACTTTAAAGGTTAGGAGGCTTTTTTCCCTCATCCTGACTTCCTGGGCTGCTATTCGGCTAGGTTTAGGTTTCTGAGTTTGTTGGCGCACACGGGCAGTCTTTCCTCTACAGATGCACTCGTGTCCAGCATTGAAATATTCATTTACAGCATGTGTTTTGTCACACACTCTCTGTCCACACTGAATAATTTATAAGACCGCGTTGTTGTTTTAGATCCTGGCAGAGCTGGAAGCGCTACTCATGAAAAACATCCTCCCTCGGTCTGGGTCTCTCGGATGCAGCGAGCAGTTGCACGCATGATTTGGCATGCTCTCGTGCAGCGTAACCCAGCCATGCGCTGTAACATGTCGAGGGACCTTAATGCGATCAGCGCCGTAACCTCAGCCACTAAGGAGGAGTCCCAGAGGATCTGAACGGTAAACATGCGTTTAACTGTCTAGCATGCCAGAGTGAACGGCTGACCTGCGCTAACAGCAGTGACAGACCCGAACAAAGATGAACCTATTCACCTGACTGCACACATACACCCACATACTGTCAGAGTCATAAATTATGACACGCACGTTAATGAGTTTTAATTGTTCCAATGACATAATTTTTTTAATCACCCACATATATAGCTAAAATGAGAACTTGTTTAATTAGTGAGAAAAATTATTTTAAAAAATCATCTCGGGAGCATAAATGACAAGTATATTAGTATATTTAAATAGCATATTATATATATGTGTGTGTGTGTGTGTGTGTGTGTACACACACACACACATATATATAATATATATAACACAAACAAATAATATTTTTATATATGTACAACAAATAAAATAATGGATTAAAAATAACGTATTTTAAATCATGACAGATATCAAAGCACTTTAATTTTGTTTAATTTTATAGCACCTTTCAGTTAATCACATATATATCACTATAAAGGAAATAAGAAAAACAATAAAAAAAGTTTATCTATCATAGTTATTGTGCTACATTAAAAAATTATAAATATAAATTTTACATACCAAATAAATTATATTTCAGTATTATTATTATTTGTAACTAATTTTAACTCATTTATTTTTCTTTTTAAATCACTATATATAGTTCATTATAAAATAATGAATTAAAAATAAATCGGTAATAAAGAAATATGTGGGGGGGAAATGCTTTTTTTATTTTTAAGAAAAAGACATGTAGGAGGAGCAGATAAAGAAAAGTGTGAAAAAAGGAACCGGATGAGGGGAACAGAAAAATTAAGAATGACTCTGAGAGCTGTGGAGGAAGAGGAGACCCATGGGGGCCTGATATTCAGAGAGAAAGTGAGAGAACGAGAGCGAGCGGTGGAAAATTATTGGGCGTGCGTTCAAAACACCGAACGTTCCAAAAGCTGAAAGCATCCAAAGGCGAAGAAAGGCAAAGCGAGGGGGGGAGAAAAAGTCTCTCGGAATGTTAAAAATCAACAATGTAAGACAGCTCTTCCACTGCTATAGCAATTTGTTTAAGTGTTACTGGCGAGTGTTTGTGCCAAGCAGGCTGCTGGCTGTGGCGCTGATGTTTGAGGAAGCAGTGCCAGCTAGCGCAGCTGTGAGGCCACTGCCCCCACCCTCCACACCCCTTCCTCTCCTCTACTCTCTCGGCCAAGACACTCTCGGAGACACAGAGAGAGAGAGAGAGTTCAGAGAATATGCGAGACAGCAGGTGAGAGGAAGTGACAGACAGTGAGTACATGTGTGAGAAGGGGTCACTAGGGGGAAACTCTCCAGAAATGAACTTCAAGAAGTGGGCGTTGAGGCTGTTGATTAGCCACGTCTAAGCCCCTCTCTCCTCCTTTTATCTCATCACGCCCTCCTCCTCTTAGCTGGAGCGATGACAGACGGACGAAGGGGGGTTGGCCTGATCAATACCCGCCTCACTGCTTCTCCTGGCCTCCCCTCTCTGCTCGCCTACTCCTGCACCGCGACACATCATACATTATAGAAGCGGGATCTGACTGAGGATGATGAATGTTCCGGCCTCGCCGGGCTTTAGGGGAAGGGCTGACGCTAGGGATGGCGGCACCACCAGCGCACAGGGAAGCGCGGAGGTTAGCCACCGTGCTATAGGTTATCAATGCCCCTGCTGACTCACAGCTAATGAGCGTTCTAGTCACACAATCTATCAAACAGGTGACTGGGGAGCCTGGAAGAGCAGAGGATGTTTACAGAGAATGGCCGCAACAGAAGGAAACTGATGAGGTTAAGAAGTTTGATGAGAAAAGCCTATGCCAGGGAAACCATGGGATCACTGAAGATTGAAGACTAGTCATATAGAGATGGTGAATGTCTGGGGATGTAGCTGGGATAATAAGGATCAGTGCTGCTGCAGCTAGCAGTCCGCTCATTTACATAGACGTTTGGAAAACTAGGAGAGTTGGAGCATGTGACCTTGCCAGTCAGCAGGGGAGCGTTAACGGCCCCACCAACATAACAGCTCCTGCAACTCTCCACATGGCCTCTGGGAACAACAAATACATTGGAATTTCTTGGTGGCTCTATATCGGTACTATATTGGTTATCGGCCTATATGCGAGATATTTTTAATTTATTGAGTTACTGGATATATGCATCTTATTTTTAACGTAAGTGTGGGTGCGATCTTTTGTAACTTGAATGTGCGAGGCTTCCGGTGTCATTCGCCTCTAGTTATTTTAGCTGTACAAAAACAGTTTGTTATGCTGCTTGATATTGCAAAATGAAATTGTTTTAATCATTATTTTCATTTATTATTGTCATCATAAAAACATTGGTTTGTAGTGCAAATAGTTTTACCTTTTACTGCTTGTTGCAGCTCTATAGCAGCTAATGAATCGGACGTCATGCACATTCACAGAAAACAGCTTACTTTTGCATTGCAAAATAAGGTAGATATTTAATTGTGCATCCTCATTTCCCGTTTTTACATTTACTTTGCTGTCATTTAACGCATCTTTAAAAACACTAATAATTTAATAACACTGTTAAATATAACCTTCAGCAAATCTTAAAATGAATATCCATTTTTCCTATTGTGCATTTTGATGTTGTGATGCTTAAATTTACATGCAATATTTTAAACGCTTCCTTGTTTTTTATCAGTTATTTATCAGTTATCAGCCATAACATCATTTTATTCTGGTTCTTTACTACAATCAACACAACCTCTTCATATTCTCTTCATCAGCAAATGCAAAGCACTTGGCAAAATGTTTTTATACTAATTCACCCAAAATTGAAAATTCTGTCAATGTATTCACTCTCATGTCATTCCAAACCTGTATTGACTGTTCTTTTGAGGAACACAAAATAATATATTTTGAAGAACGTTTGGGTCCAAACAACATTGGATTTACACAAGGATTAAACATATTCAAAATATCATTTGTGTTCCACAGAAGAAATTCATGAAGGTTTGGAATGGCATGAGAGTGACTAAATGACAAAATGTTTATTTTTGGGTGAGCTATCCCTTTAAGAGAGTTTCACATTGATTTGGGTTTCAAAATGCAGCACTGCATCTAATGAAGCAGTGAGAAATGTCAGAGGCACTTGTTTCACTGATCACACCTCTACCATTTTTAAACAGTGAGTGTAACAGACTCTGCCAGTGAAGAGTGGCAAGATTTCAGCAACAACAGTCAGTAGCTATGAAATGCTCTACTGTTGTCGAGATGTTTTGAGTTGGTAAGTGAACAGCTGGCTTAACAGTTGCAGCTCGTGTAGGCCAATCAAGACACTAGGCACAGACTAGTCCTGTCACCGATATGTCATTAAACAAGGCACTTAACTAGAGGATTGTACATGTGCGTTTTCCCTGAAATACTCTCCCTGTTTATGATTCTGACGCCCATGAACATTTAAAGATTACAGGCTCACAATCTGTCAAAAGAAAGGAGGTTTAAACTAACACTCCAACCTGTTCAAACTAATACTAAGACCTTTTGAGATCATCAAAACCAAGGAAACAATATACACTGCAAAAAAAAAAAAAAATCTTCTTTAGTTATAGGCATGTCTTCTGTTGGCTATCTCTCACCACAGGCCTGTGTTATCGCAACAGAGCTCTTAAAACAGTCTTCATATCAGCCCTCCTTGATTTGA